GCGGAGTCTGCCCCCCTTGGGGGGGGGGGGTCAGCAGGCGATCCTCGAGTCTCGACCCTCGACCCTCGAACCTCGAGCCTCGAGACCTCGAACCTCGCACTTCGACCCTCGACCCTCGATCCTCGACCCCCGAGCCTCGACCCCCGAGCCTCGACCCTCGAGCCTCTCCCCTCGGCGGCGAGCGAGGCTCGGCGAGCGACCCGGAGGGCCGACGCCTCCAGGAGACCCCCGGGCCTCACCGCTGGCCGCGGGCAGCTCCAGAGCGCCGCGTGCTCGCCCAGCCGGGCGCGCGCCGCGCCCGCCTCGCCGGCCTCCGTCGGCGAGGGTCGGGCCACGAGTGGCCCTGGCCCAACCTCGGAGGCGACGACAGGGGCGAATAGCCCAGGGGGAGCAATACTCAGGAGGGGGAAAAACACACAGACACAATGAATCGTCGACTCCCCAGAAAATATGGGAAAATGTGGGAAGTGGGGGGGAGACAAAAACCCAGAAAATATGGGGAAACATGGGGAATCCGGTTATTTGTGTGTATTTATTTGTGTGTCCCAGGGCCCCTTCAAATACATGTATCCAGGGGCGCCGATGATCTATGTCTATGAATACGTGTAGTGCCTCATTACCCCTGGGGCTATTCGCCCTATCGTCGCCGCCGACAGCCCAGAGATCCGGCGCTCCAGAAAACATAGAGCTGGCGGTTTTTGGCCGTTGGTGGTCTCCAGGGGCCCTCGGCCGGGCTTCGGGAGCGGCAGAGTGCGACCCGGGCCGAGAAGCTGGCCCCACGGAAGTGGTCCAGACCTCCGGGTCCCACGCATCGAAAGAAGTGGAACAGCCATATGTCTGGGTCCTTCTTCCTCCCTCCCCCTCCCTCTTGTAGGCATCGCGCCTGGCGTCGCCGCAGTGTTTTTGCATGTCCGTCATCGGCAGCGCTTGCGCGTTCTCCTTCTTGATTACCTCCTCTTCCCTCCTGCGTCCCCCCTTCTCCCCCCTTCTGCCTCCTCCCTCCTTGGGAGGGGGTCCCAGCCCAGGGAGGAGCTCCTCCTCCCTGGTCCCTAGACCTCCTCGCGTCTCGTAAAACTCGCGTCTTAAGGCTTTTCGGCAATCCTTAGCCTCGGGGGGCCCGCTAGGTCCGAGACCGTCAAGAAACTGCTCGGGATTAAAGCCCAGTCCCCTGGAAGGGGTCAAGATTTCTGGTGGGCCACGTTGTGAAACAATCGTGTCGGAGGTTTTCCTCTTCCTCTTCCTCCTCGTCGTTGTCCTCCTCCTTCTTCTCTTCCCCCTACTCGCTTCTCCCCAGACCCTCGCTTTCCTTGGAGAGTGGCACTCCCCCGGCTGCTGCCCAGTGTGGATACCTCTGTGGACAGCCGAGCTGAGTCCTCCTCTGTTCTCCCTCCTCCTTCCTTGTGCTCCTCCGTCTCCCTCCTCCTCGTCTTCCTCCTCTCCTCGCGACAGAAGGAGGAGGTGAAGGAACAGAGTAAACCCAAGATGCATCAGCGACGCTCCACTACACCGTCCCGTCCCAAGTCAGCTGCAGGAGTAGGAGGAGGAGGAGGAGGAGGAGGAGGAGGAGGAGGAGGAGGGAGAGGGGGAGGAGGAGGAGGAGGAGGAGGAGGAGGAGGAGGAGGAGGAGGAGGAGGAGGAGGAGGAGGAGGAGGAGGAGGAGGAGGAGGAGGAGGAGGAGGAGGAGGAGGAGGAGGAGGAGGTGGATGAGGAGGAGGATTTTTTGACATCAACATCAAAGGTGAGTGCCTGCCCAGACAATTAGAGCAGGCTGGCTGGCCTGGGCCAGCAAAAGACAGCTAACACCTGAAAGAAGAGGAAAGGCAGGAGGCCACATAGACATCTCCAGCTCGCTGGAGGATTCCCCGTGGCCAGCTGCTTCTCCCCCAGGCGTTAGTCGGAACTCGAGTCGTTCCCGTCACGGTGCGGAATCCTCGAAATGAAAGGGGCCTCGTCATCTTCCTGCCGAAGAGGGGAGGCGACTCCTCTCAACACAGCCCGAGGGTCCTCCTCAAACAAAACATTGGAAGCCTCCTCCTCGGCGGCCCATAAATCGGATCCTCCCGCTGGCGCAGCAACCTGGCGCCCAGCGGAGGAGGCAGCGTTGTTCCCCCCGCCCACACCCGACTCCGCCCCGTCCCCCCCCCACCCAGAGAGCAAGGAGGAGGGGAGATGTGAGGCCGCAGGGCGGCCACTTGGCTGGCAGCTCGGCCCCCACCCAATTGCGCCCAAGGTCCGCGCTCAACCGCAACACCTGGACGCTTCGGATGGCGACCTCTGCAAATCGGGTGCCAATTGTTATAACGCTTAGAACGCGTTGGGGCAACACATGTCTCCGCAAGGCCAGAGATCCTGCCATGCGAAGAGTAAGACAAACATTTCGTGCACATGACCAGTGCTGCGTGGTCTGGACACATGAGTGTCAAGCACCTGTGTCCCCGCGCCTCCAAAGTCCTCGGTTCCAGCCCACGGACAGGAGCACAACGAGACGGAGGGGGCGGGGGACCGTGGGTCGGCAGACGACTGACTTTGGCACAGATCGAGCACTTCCAAAATCCTGAGGCTGAGCCAAGCTCAACATGCTGAATAGGCTTCCAGAGACAAAAGGCAACTTGCACCGATTGGGGGGGATCCTTAGGCGGCTTAACCCAAGACACACCCTGGAGGTCCAGCTTGGGCCATTTGGGCATCAGCTTCGCTGCTAAGAGAGCCACCGCCCTGGCCATCTTAACATCCAAATCTACCCTGGAAGAGGCCTCCTCGGGTGGCTGTGGGTGCCCCAGGTACCCCTCCCCAGCTGAAGCACTCTCGGCTCCACCATCGGCGGGATGATTCCCAAAACGGCACATTTTGTTTCGATCATCGGTCCACTCGTCTAGCGACAGGTGCGCCTTGACTTTGTTCAAAGAACGGGCCTTCCAGAGGTCGTGTAGAAGAGAAAGAGAGAAACCGCTGTAACAGTTCTTAGGCGACAGCTGATCAACCCTGGGTCGTGCAAAATGGTCTTTGACCGACTGAGCGTCCGTGAAAAAAATCGGACGGATCCCCTACAAAGATGACTGCCTGGCAGATAGCTGCAAACTCGCCAGCAGGGGCTGTCTGGGGATAGCACGGGGGACAGGGCCGTAGAGCTTGCCGAGTAAATCTCCCTGGTCGTCCACGGCCACAAAGCACCACCCAGCCCTGCTGAGCTCGCGAATGACGTGCCTGACGGCACTGCCGTCAGTGAAGAGGCTTCCCCTGAAATGAAAAAAGCCAATGTCCTGAGAAAGGTCCCCCCCTGGCCCAGAAGGTCCCCGCGGCCTCGGGGGCAGGACCAGGAAAGTAGTCCCCAGGATGAACGAAAGCTCCAAAGCAAGTCCTGACTGAGTTGGGCTCCCCCAGCGCCTTCTCTATAACTTCTGGTTTAACAGAACTTTCTCGAAGCTCGACTATATCCTGGCTACGACAGGCCCAGAGTCTATGGTGGAGAGTGTCAGCAGCAGCACCGCAGAGAGGGCAGCAAGGGTCAATCTGATAACCCAGGCGAATAGCTTTCGTTCGGGTCCAAACCGCATCCGTTGCAACAGCTCTGATGCACTTTTTTCTTGAGAGGCGAATGCCGCTTGCGGCGAAGCTCGGCCTTAACCACGTCGAAGCAGAGACGATGAGGAACATCCCATTTGGCACCTGCTTCCCATTCGAGAGTACGGAACACAACACCTCTAAGATGTTGCTTCATGAGCTGGGGGGACATGAGGGTCATGGAAAGCTCAGCCCCTTTGTCGGTGACGAAAGTGGCGAAGTCCCTCACCACAGTTCCTTATGCCACCTCAAGATGGGTGACACCGCCCCGACCCACGCGGGGTCCCCTTCCAGGTGGGGCAAAACGCTCAGGGAGCGTTGACCAGCCGACGGTTTAATGGTAGATGCTGCTGCCCTCTGAATGAGCAGCAACTCGTGGTCCGTGACTCCTCTCACCTCGCTCCCGTAGAGCAGGCCAGGGAGAGGCCCCGCAGTAAAAACACCCGAAGGGTCCTCCTAGACCCCAGGGCCTGCCTGAGACCCGCCACCCTGGCGGTCCGTTTCTTGAAAAAGGTGCCTCCTTTTTTTTGTTTTGTTTTTTTTTTTGTTGCGGCCCTGGGCCCTAATATTCTTCCCGACGGTGTCGTCAACCCCGAGGTTAACAGCGCTGGAGGTAATTGGGCCCGTGAGCTCCATTCCGAGATTGGCCTGGATGGCCCTGCCTAGCTTGGCCGAAGAACAAAGGAGGCTTGATTTGTCCGCCGCCACCTGGCCTCCGATCCCGTCAACGATGGCGGCGTGGAGCTGGGGCGCGCCCTCAGTAATGGCGTCAACCACAAAGCGAAAGGTGCCGACCGCGCTGAGACCAGCGTCATCAATGTAGAGCGCCAGCTCTGCGCCCTGTCTCAGCCTAACACTGTCGAGCGATTCCACAGAATTGACCCTGGTGAGGGTATTAGCCAGGGAACACCCCGCAATGATGCCAACACTCGCGTACCACGGGCCGTCCAGACAGCCCCCCAGGGAAAGAAACCTCGGGGCCCGATAGGCCCTGACGGCCAGCTTGGCCATCGCAGGGGGGAGGCCGAGCCTCAAACACCTGTCCAGGAGTCGCTCGAGGTGTATGAGCTCGTAGTAGTTGTACGTGTCCTGAAGAAGCGTGGCCGCATGCAATTGATGGGTGGCCCCGCTCTCGCTGCGGAGGCTCTGACGCCGCACAACGTCGGACGCCCCCGGGTATTTGCCCGCAGCAAAGTAGGGGCGAGCGTGCACCCCCTCCCAGTTCTCGGCGCGGCACCGCCGCGCTTTGCCCCACAAGCGGTAGGGCCCCATGAAGATCCCAATGGGCCGAAATCCTAAAGTAGGTTTCCCCAAGAGAGCCAACACGGTGGCATCCAGCTGGGCTGGAAGCATGCTGGACATCTCCATCGCCTGCAGGATCTTACACAAGGCCAGGACCCCAGGAAGGGACATCATGCTGACGTGTTTCATATGAAAGC